TTGTTCGGCAGGTTTTTTCAATTAAAAAGAATAAAAAATAGACAAACAGAGCTTGTGAAGGAAGCAAAGGGAAGGATTCAGAATTCCATCATGCATCAGGCCTTCATGATGCTAACTATATTCTATTCTCTCTCACTTACCTGTAATGATACCCCATTCCTACCCGAGTTTTAGCAATACAGAGGGCTACACAGATAGAAATTGGATTTCCCAGTCTCCTTTGCAACAAGGGGGCCAACTACGTGCTGACAAAATATAAACGGAAGTGAGAAATAGCACTTCTGTCTCATTCCATCTTTAGAACTAAGACATGAATATGCACCATTCACAAACCAGCATCAGCAAGAGAAGCCCCTACCTTTAGACATCATGTTACGTGAAGAGAAAAAAAGCTACCTTGTGATTTTAAAAAATTGGACTAGGCCCTCCCTGGTGGCCCAGCAGGTTAAAGCACAGCACTAAGAAGCTAAAGCCATTTCTGCTTGAGTTCGATCCCTGCCTGTCCCAGAGGTTCAGCAGACCCCTCCTGGCCCACCCGCTGCTCCCCTCAGCAGTGTACTTCGCCGATCTGCCTGTTCTGCTCCCCACTCTGTCTCTGGTGAATCCTCTCACCCTCCGCATCTCTGGCCTGTACCCCAGTTCTGTACGTACAAATAAATAAATCTTAAAAAAAAAAAAATTGGACCAAAGCTGATTTGGACATAACTTTTTCCATGTAGTATATAATTCACGAGTTCCTTCTGGGAAGACATGGCTTTCTGAATAATATGCTTAAGCAACATTTTCTGATAAACTTCTGATTCAAATAAGACCTCTTCTAGGAAGCCAACTTCCTGTTCCATTCAACTGTCAGTCATCCGGAGCTCTAATGATCTAAAACCAAGCTTTCATTTTTCTTGTGCCTGGTCCAACTGCAAATATCTAGTCATGCTCTTTCCTATAAAAGAGAAAGGACTCTTTGAACCAATTTGGTGATAAGCCTCTTTCCCCATGGTAAACCTGGTGATCAATTAAATCACCTAGTATGTGATTTTAATTAATTTGACTGAAGACTTGTTTGCGTCAATGTAACCTGAAGCCTCTTTTTTTTATAGTAGCTTAGTTAACAGAGAGAAAGGGGCTATCTCCCACCCCCCCACTGAGTAGAGAATCCCCTGCAGTGGGGATCCTTCCTTCTGTGTGCCTCTCTGGGCCCCCACATGCATTGCTAGTGATGTAGCTTTTGGAATTGATGGGTTTGAAGAGTGGGGTCCTTGGGAAAGGTTTCACTTGGCATCTAAGGGTCTTATTTTCTATGGCTGTGCTTACTGGCTATGTTAATCCCGGTACCTCCATCTCCTTACGTGAGACAGGTTCTGTGAGACAGGTTCCGTTGCTATTCTTTCCTCCATCAGTAGCACCTGACCTGGCCTTCCTTGCATGTGCACACCCGGTAACTACTGACTTTGAGTTTGAAAAGGGAGTTATTTGTGCACCATACCAGTGGATCCTGAAGGTCTTTGAAAAAACATCAGACATGCACAGGTGACCAAAGGAGGGGTATTTTACCCAAGTTTCAAAGGGCCCTGGGGGGCGAGAACCGGCCCACTAGCCAGCTACTGTATGCCAGGCATTTCACAGGCTCTGGCTCATGTGATTCTCCCAAAAAAGCCCAGGAGGTGGGCATTTAGAGTAACCTCAGCAGTTTTGCCTGCCCCACCATCCAGGTGGGTAAAAGAGAAGCAAGAAATGGATAAAACAAGGGAAAGCTTTGCTGGGGACTGAGTGGGGGACAGGAGGAAGCCAGGCCCACCCAGTTGGGGACAGGAAGAGGAGGCCCAGGGTCCACTGGCAAAAGCCTGGGTTCTCGAAGAAGCAGGCAGGGCCTCTCCAAGGTCAAGGCATCTCCAGACTTTTTCTTTTTTGGAGGCTTATTGAATTTTGGAAACATTAAAAAATACCAAAAACAGTATCATGAAGATCATATGTCTCTTACATGTTTACCCTTGTCTAATGAATGCATTTAACACACATACAAACACACGAGCAGAGCAGGGGAACACACCTTGGGGGCCTCCTGGAGGGATGGGGAGGATCTGGTCCGAGATGCAGTATGCCTTTAATGCTATAGGAATGTTCTCAATTTTCAAGTTCTGTTCCAGAAATTGTCATACCTGCATGTGTAACTGCACAGAGAAATAATAGCAGGGATTCACATTTAAGGATCTTCAGGAACGCGAGGCCTCAGCTGGATCCCCTCACACACACCTGAGGCAGGTCTAAGCTGGGCCAGAGTCCAGGCAGCCTCCAGGCAGCTTACTGGACTGACTGGGGAGGGTCCCCAAGACCATAAAGTACTGAGGACAAAACTGCACGCCTGTCCAACCCCCCTCCCTCAAAGCTGGTGGGGTTACCATTCTCTGGTGAAGGGGCCAGAAGGGGCAGAGAAGGAATGCCATGCCAGAAGAGCAGAAGACTGAGCTGGAAGGGCTGAGGCCCTCCAAGATGCCTGGGGCAGCATTTGGAGCTGCCTGGACTGTAATCTTCCCTCCCCAGGCTGGAATCTGAGGGCCTGGGGGAAGGGAGGAGGGGGAGGAAAAGGTGGAGTTTCAGGCTCGCTGCGAATTGGAGCTGAGTCTCCACCCACCAAACCCCAGCCCAAGAACAGGGCTCAGGCACCCAAACAGCAGACAGACAGCTTCACGGCCACTAAGAATTAAAACCTATTGATTTTCCCCATTAGCTTGAGAACGCCATCAGAGTGCATTAAAACCAGGCCGAGCACCAGCATCCTGAATAATTAACATCTGCAAATGACAACCCCAAGGGGCCTGGGGAGGTAGAAGGGGCGCCTGGAGGCCTGGGGCACCCTAGCCCCTACTGACTCCACCCCAGGGAGCCACAGCCTGGCCTGACCTCCCCTTCCCTCCGCCTCTTCTGTCGTCCCTCTAGGTCTTTGTACTGTCCTCAAGGACACACCCTAGGAGGCAAGCAGTCTCCGCTGAAGTGTAGAACTGGGGAGACACAGCCCCCAGGTGACAGCATCAGACTCTGCTGTGAGTCACTGTGTGACTTCACGGAGTCTCTCCTTCCTGGGGCCCATCCCTTCTCCTGGGGGGTTCTAGGGGTTGGATTAGCTGTCCCCTATGTCTACAGGTTCTAGGGCTATTAAAGGAAGAGTAACTAGCCGAAGTGGCAGCACATCTATAGCAGAGCCCACACTAACACCTGACGCCCCGTCTCTAAATCATACACCCCAGCCCAGCCTATAGGTTACCTCGACGCAAATCAGAAAAAAAGCTACCCCCTTTGGGTGGACCAATTCAAAAAGAGCATCCTCTGGGTGAACCCATTAGAAAAAAAAGGCTCTATTTGGGCTGACCAATTAGAAAAAGCCATCCTTCTGCGCGCACCAATTAGAAAAAGGCACTTTATCAGCTGGCCAATTAGAAAAAGCCATCCTTTTGCGCACACCAATTAGAAAAAGGCACTTTATTAACTGACCAATTAGAAAAAGGCATCCTTTGGGGTGGCCCAATTAGAAAAAGACAGACACCTCACCCCCACAGTTTTATACACGCAGGCCCTGGCGGAGCAGAGCGCTGGACACCAGCGCCCACTCGCAGGCCATCTGCGTAGGTGCCCTTGTGGTCGGTGCTCCCGAAACAGTTGCTCGCGGAGGCCGTGTCCTCAGCCCCCAGCTTTTCTTAACAAGGGGAGGCCCACATTTCTCCTTCCAACCAATGGAATTCAGTTAAACAAATACAGATATTTCCTTCCAAGTCTCTTCCTGCCCGCCATCTCCTCAGCCCCCTCGCTGGCCCCAGTTCCCACATGCATCCTCCTCCCACCCACCCCTGCTCCTTCAAGCCCCCCCACCCCAGGGTAACTTTCAGCGTGCCTAGTGGGGGTCCACCATCTTTTTGGCCTGTGAGTACGCACATACTCTGCCCTCCCTACTGCTGAAGGCTTCAAGGCCCAGCTTAAAGACTTTTGTAGCTTCTCATACCCTTCCTCAAACCCACCCGCTCCTTCTTGCCTCTGGCCCTTTGCAGCTAGCTACTGATCCTCCTCCTGGACCACCTCTGCTAGATCTGACTCCTGCTGCTCCAACCTCAGCTTCCTGGGAGGTCTTCCCTGAACATTCTATCAAGCCACCTCCCCTCTCACATACCAGTTTCATTTTTTCATAGCATTTTGTAGCACTTTTCAGAATCTGAAGTTATTTTCCCTTTGTTTACCGGTGCAAGGTTATGCTTGTTGCAAATTGCAGAGGTGAGCTAGGCATAGAAACCCAGCCAGCCTGGATCCCTGCAGGGAGTTTCCCTTATTCTCAGGATGGCTAGCATCCGAGCAGGTGAGCTGTGGCCCTGCCCTCTCACTGTGACCTGCCAGCCCTCCAGAGCAGGAACAGGCCCTTCTTCCTCACCAGTGCCTACCAGTCACCAGCAGGCACAGTTCCTGGCACTTTGCAGGTGCTTCATAAACATTTTCAAGCAAACAAATTATACTCAGATTCCTGCCTCTCCACCCTCTTCCCACACTCTTCCACTGAATAGAGGACTGGGTGTTTCCCAGGGGAGCTGCATGAGGTTTATCTGGGTGGGTCCACAGAGATTCAGCCACCAAACTGGACCTATAGTGACAGGGAACTGCAGTGGTCCCAGGGGTGGAGGGATGCCCCCCCCCATGAGTGCAGGAATCCTGGGGACACTCCCTAGAGCTCAGACTCCCCCATTCCAGGGATGCTGCCAGAGACTCTGTTCTGCCAGACTTCAGGAGGTGTGCATGGGGGTCAAATGGCCAGGGGACTTGGACCAAGACCTAGATGCCCAGCGGTGCACAGCTTCATGGCATCTGAGGGTCCTGTGAAGGCAGCCAAGCTTCTGCTCCTCGCCACTGGCAGCCCCACCAGCCTCCCCTCTGGCAGGGAAGGAGTTAACTTCCAGGCTTCTCAGCGTGAATGTGGAGCTATTAATACCCACAGCCAAGCCGGTCTGCCTCTGCCGGAGCAGCAGCCACCAGAGTAGGAGTCTGAGGAGCTGGGAGTGGAGGGAGCCGGCTCCAGACCAGCAACAGCACTGGAGCCACGACTGGGGGCCTGGACTCGCCTGGGGTCGCCTCACCTGCCCGTCTCTCAGCCCCAGGTGTTGACCCTCCCTCCGGAGACCACGCCTGCCGCCCCTCCGGCACAGAGAACAAACTTTCTTAGGAAGCCCGTGCTTGCTCAGGAGGCACAGACCGCTGGACAGACAGATGACCAGATGGACAGGGCATCTGTGAGCCTGTCGGCCCAGCCTCGCCTCTGACAGACAGCAGCTGGGTGGGCCACCGAGGGGCAAAGGCTCCACCCCGGGCAGTGAGTGGCCTGCTGGACCTTGGTCGCCAGTGAGGCACCTCCGAGACTCTGAGACTCTGAGACGAGGCTGCTGGAAGCTGCCTGCCCCGGCCCAGCGCTGCGGCTGGAAGCCCCTGGGGCCAGGACGGTGTCCCCACCGAACAGAGCCACAGGCTCTACCCCCCACCGAGGCGACGGGTAACCTGAGTGAAAAGGCACAGGTGGCAGGTGGGCAGGCGAGGGACCCTGAGGCCAACAGGCTGCTGACCCTGGAGCATTCTGGCTCTGGGCCCCCTGCCCAGACTGGGGATGATGCTGCCCTGGCCACCACCAGCCACCCCTGCCCCATCCTGGAGCTGCCTCCAGCCTGGCCCCTGGGCTGTGGAGATGTTCCAGCCTTCTGCTTCGTCTGCTTCCACAGGGAAGAGGAGGAGGAAGAGCCGCTGGAAGAGGTCCCGCTGCAGAGGTCAGTGCCTGAGGGTGGGCGCAGGGCAAATCTCCGTCTGTCTGTGGTCCTCTGCTGGCCAGCCGCCGCCACCCCTGTGGCAGCCTTTCCCATCTCTCACCTGGTGTCACCCCCCCCTCTGTCGCCCCCATCCTATCCCACTGTGACCTTCCCATCCGCCCCCAGTGTGGTCATGTCCACCCCGCTCAGAGCAGAGCTCTCCGTGGTTCCCGGCTCAAGTGGACACTCTGCTCAACATCCCAAGACCTACGTGGTCGGGTTGACCCCACCCAATTAATCTCGCTCCGCTCCCCTGAACTCACCCCAGAGAAACTGCGCCCTGGTTTCGCCCGCGCACCTGCAGGAAGCCCCTGCCCGGCCAGCTCAGAGCTGCTTCTCCTTGTCGCGCTGCACCAGCACTTAACAGAGTTCCGTCCTACTGAAGTGGCGGGCATGTCTGTTTGTGTCTGCGCACACGTGTCTGTGTGTGTGAGAAGGAGACGACGTGTCTGTGTGTGTGAGAAGGAGACGACACGAACGTTTGTGTGGCCGTGGCCGGTTACTCGGGGGTGAGTATGTGTGAGTGTGTGCGTGCGTATGTTTGTCAGTGTAAGTGGGTGTACGTTCTCTGAACCTTTGAGGGACAGTAGTTGTACACTGTGCCCAGGCAGGGGTTCCTGCCCTGAGGACCGTGGTCCTTTTCGCCAGGGCTTCCCACCCCCACCTGCAGGGAAATCCAAGCTTTCGCCAGTGCTTCCCACCCCCACCCGCAGGGAAATCCAAGCTCTGGCCAAGTGCATTACCCAGGCTGTGACCACACCTTCTGGGAATGGATGGAAAGTCTGCTGGGCAGACAAGGGTCACCTCTGCCCCAGCCCAGCCCCCCTCGCCTCCAGCACCATCTGAGTCAGCACTGCCCGCGTGGGGAGAAGGGCAGGCTCGGGCCCAATCCAGGTGGCCCCTCCGCCCTTTGCGGGAGGGTGGGTGTGGGCTTCTGCCGCCCAGGCCCGGGCTCCTCTCTGAATGTCTCTGTTGGACCCTTGGGTCAGTCATTTCCCCTCTATCGCCCTCTGGGTCCTCATCTGTGAAAGCGGGGGGATGCTCCTGGCCCAGCCTTCGGTTCATCATTCAGCAGAGTGACCCCAGCCCAACACTCACAGGGTCACAGCCCCCCAGGAGGGCAGACAAGCCTACAGATGGTCTTGGCAGGGTACTGGGCACCCTGATGGACAAGGTGTGCGGGTCTCAGGGAGTCAGTGGGAAAGACTGCTCCCCACAGCCAGGCCCTCTCCCTGGTGGTGGGTGGAGCTGAAGACAGGACAGCCCCGGAGGTGGGGCTGGCAAGAGGTGGTGTGAAATAGAAGCTGTGTGGGGAGGCAGTCTCGGGGCCGGAGCTCAGTAGGGCCATCGCGGGGCCTTGACCACGGAGCCCGGGGCGTGCGACCAGGTTCCATGCAGCAGACAGGCAAGTTGGGAGACTGAGGTCACAGGCGAGGGCGCTTCTTGAACTTGAAAGCGATGACCTCCCGAGGGGGTCATCATTTCTGCAGTAGGGGCTCGAAATGCCTGTTGATTGACTATGACACCAGGCAAGAAGACATCATCTGAGTGGATTATCACAAAGTGCACACTCCTGTTTCCCACCAGGCTCTGGGGAGCCCCCAGAATGAGACAGACATTGGCCTTAGGGTCACACAGCCACAAGCTCCTGCGTCTCCCCGTCTCCCCCACCTCCCACCTATAACTTTGGAATCCACGCCGGCCTCCTGCTTGGGCCTATGGCGGCCTAGGTCCGCAGGAATCCGTCTGCTTTCCAGCTGGTGGGCACTAGCCCTTTAAGGCCAGGGGAGGGACACTGCCAGGCTGGGCAGGGACAGTGACCACAGGTGCCAGGTGGCGATACTAAAAATACTGAATGATGTGGATGCCCAGGCCGGAGCGCTGGGTGACGCTAGCTGGGGAGGGTGGGAGGAAGACTCTGGAATGTTTCTTTCCTATGAGAGGAGGGGTAGCGGGCGCTGAGGCTTGGTGGGGTCACCTTGGGGGCTTAGAAAAGCCTCCCTTCTCCAGCCCTCGCCTGGGAGGTGCTGGGGTTCCCCTCCCGGAGCCCGCCACCCTGTTCAGCAGCAAGGGGAAGGCCAGTCCCACTGCAGCGGCGTCCCTGTGACCCCGGGGAAGTCACCTCTTCTCTCTGGGCCTCTGTGCCATTGAAGAGCTGGACTTTCTCTGACACTTCTAGGGACAACGAGGCAACGAAAAGATGCTCATTTGTGGATCCCACAAACTTTCTCTGAGACGACTGACTGGGGTCAAGGCTGAGGTCACAGAGAGGAGCGTGACAGGCTCTTCCTGGGGGGCTCACACCTACTGAGTCCAAAACGGCACCCTCTGGGGCGGTGACACATCAGGGAGGTGCTGTCCCCAAGGTGTGAGCTGGGCTGCGGGGGACTGCAGTAGAGAGCACGTCTGTGTCTGAAGAAAACTTGTCAACAAAAGCAAAACCCTCACAGTGCTGCGCCCCAGCCGCCTGCTCCTTGTGCTTGTGGATTAGTCAAGGCCAGAGCGGCTGTTATAACAAGTGAGCCTGGAAACTGCCGGAGCTGCACGCACTGGAGCCTCACGCTCTGCTTTGCAAAGTCTGCAGCCGGCTGGGATAAGGGGGGGGCGCCCCTCAGCCTTTCAGGAACCCAGGCTCCGCCTGCCTGTGAGTCAGCTGTCACCCAGGGCTGGGAATCCACTGCTGGGTCCTCTGCTGCAACAAGCCAGCAGGTGAAGAAGAAGTAACAGGAGCCCATGAGGTTTCGCGAGACTTCTGCCCACGCTCACTGGCCAGCACCGCTAGCCGCAGAGGAGTGGGCGACGCGGTCCTGGAGGAGCAGCTCCCAGGGCGGCTGTCAAAATGAAGTATCTGTATAAGGAAGCACCAGGCACATGCCGGGGAGCCCGTGACCCCGTGTGTTCATTCACCTGTCCCTGCATCCATAAGCCCCGGGAGCCGGGCAGGGACGGGAGCAGGAGCGTGCTGTGCCTGCTCTCACGGGGCTTATGTCAAGTGTGGGAGCCAAAGGAGACATCCACGGCGCAGACGTCATTATCATCGATGTTCAAGACCCACTGTTAGGACGTAACCGCAGCGGGCGGTGTCTCCCACTTTGTTTAGGGGACTAGGGCGGAAGGGGGTTCGGCTTGAGGCCTACGCGTGAGAAGAAGCAGGGCAGAGTGGGAGTAGAGCATTCCAGGCAGGAGGACATGAGCAAAGCGAGCCTGGGGTGAAGGGACAAGAGAAAGGGGAGAGGCCTGGGTGGTGAGGGAGTGACACGGGATGGGGGCAACGTGATGGGGGGAGTGACGTGATGGGGAGGGTGACACGTGATGGGGAGTGACACGTGATGGGGAGTGACACGTGATGGGGAGTGACATGTGATGGCCAGAGTGACATGAAGTGTGGCAGGAAATGACCCCCTCAGGCCACCTTGTGGGCCATGAGTGAGAGAACGGAGTTTATTCTAGCTGGGACTGAAAGCCTCTGGAAGCTATGAGTGGGGAAGTGATAAAATCTGACTGACATTTTCGTGACCTCTGGAGCCGCTCCAGAGAGCTGAGTGGATGCAGGAAACCACGCAAAGGTCATGGCGATGACGGAAGGGACCTGGCAACGGTGTGCCTCGGAGCTGAATGAGTGGATGCCTCTGAGTGCACGTAGGAGACAGAACTTGCTGGGGGTCCCTGGAAGAAGGGAGGAGGATGAGACTGCACCTGGGTGAGTAGGTGGGGTGATGGGAGGGTCAGCAGAGGGCAGAAGTGCACTGAGAAGATGGAGAATTCTGCAGAGGGTATTTTCTTTCCCTTTCGTTTATAAAGATCCATCTATTTATGCATACAAGAACTGGGGTGTAGGCCAGACATGGGGGACGGTGAGATGATTCACCAGAGGCAGAGTGGGGAGCAGAACACGCAGGTCTGCTGAAACACACTGCTGAGGGGAGCAGCAGGGAGACAGGAGAGGCCTGCTGCACGTGTGGACTAGCTCCCTGCTGGGGGATCAAACCTGCTGGGTGCTCTGACCTGCTCTGCCACCAGGGAGGGCCAGGTATTTCCTTTCTTATTTTATTGGGGTAACACTGGTTTACATGTTGTCTGTGCTTTAGAAGTACAGGCTCTCCCCTCGGGTCCTGCGGCCCCCACACAACCCCCTAGACAACCATGGCCCACCAACACAGTAGCAATGGACATTTTCTTTCTTTTTTTAAATGCATACAGAACTGGGGTACAGGCCAAAGGTGCAGGGGTGGTGAGAGGATTCACCAGAGACAGAGTGGGGAGCAGAACAGGCATACTGAGGAAGTACACTGCTGAGGGGAGCAGCGGGCGGGTCAGGAGAGGTCTGTGGCGCCATGTGGGTCAGCTCTGGAGCAGGGATCAAACTTGCACTGAAGCAGCTGCTTGCTGCCTCCTAACCAGGGAGGGCCTGGCAATGGACATTTTCAACTTGAGGAGCAGGTGAGAGGTCCCAGTAAGGACTGATACTGGGTCTGGAGCTCAAGGGGGAGACTCTCGCTGGTGACAGAGCACCAGAGACATCAGCATAAAGATGACATTGAAAGTGACATGTGTGCAGCTGCAGAGAGGAGAGAAGAGCCTCTTAAAGAGGAGGCTGGGAGTGGGTCACTGGCGTAGGAGATGCCCAACAGACAAGGGGTAACTAAGAACTTCGTGAAGGTAGAGACGAAGCAGATGTAAGCAGAGGCTGCTGGCTGAAGACAGTGATGGATACACACATCTAACTTCTCTGTGGATCCACTGAACAGAACAGGTGGATCCACTGAAATCCACTGCAGAGGGGAGCAGCGGGTGAGACAGGAGAGGTCTGCTGGGCCCTGTGGGTCAGCTCCCTGGCCGGGGATTGAACTTGTGCTGAAGCGGCTGCAGTGAGCTTGCAGTGCTGCGCTTTAACCCGTTGCGCCACCAGGGAGGGCCTTGTTTCTGGAAAGATATTCTGGAAGCTCTAGGGAAAACCCATT